AGTTATCGTAGATGTATGGGCTTATTTCTGGACTTTCACTTCTATTCTATTGATCTATATGTCTATCCTTATACTAGTACTACAGTTTTGATTTTTGTAGCTTTGTAATAAGTTTTAAAATTGGTAAGTCCTCCCACTTGGTTCTTTTTAAAGATTCTTTTGGTTATTTGATGTTCCTTGCATCTCCATATAAATTTTAGGATCAAAAAAAAATTTAGGATCAAGCTTTTCCATTTCTCCCTCAAAGGCCATTGGAATTTTGATAAGGATTACATTGAATCTGTAGATCGCTTTTGGTAAAGGCTGAATGCATATCTTCTCATCCAGTTGCCCTCAAGTTGACTCTGATTCATGGTGACCCCATGTGTTGCAGAGTACAACTGAACTCCATAGGGTTTTCATGGCTGTGACCTTTCAGAAGCAGATCACCAGGTCTTTCATCTGAGGCGCCTCTGGATGGGTTCAAACTACGAACGTTTTGGTTAGTAGCTAAGTGTGTAACCTTCTGTGCCACCCAGGGACTCCATATCATCTTATAGATGATATATAGTTTAACTAATCTCACATTGGTGGACAGTTCGGTTTCTCAACTTTTTTGTTATCATATACGTAATTGCAAAAAATCCTGTTATAAATATATTTGTGCACCTTTGAAACCCTGGAGGAATATACATCAGACATCTAACAGTAGCTATTTTCAGGGCAGGAATTAAAGGGGCTTTCAACCTCTACATTATATATTTCTGTGATGTTTGAAAAAAATTTTTAACAAGGAAACATGGATTACTTTTGTAAGCAGAAAAAAAATCTAGTAAAGATAAAATGTATTTTAAAAACCAAAGCCTGATATGTTGTTGTTATTAGGTGCCTTTGATTCGGTTCCGACTCATAGCAACCCTATGTACAACAGAATGAAACACTGGGTGGTCTTGAGCCATCCTCACGGTCATTGTTATGCTTGAACCCATTGTTGCAGCCACTGTGTCATTCCATCTCATTGAGGGCCTTCCTCTTTTTCGATGACCCTCTACTTTACCAAGCATGATGTTCTTCTCCAGGGTCTGATCCTTCCTGATAATATGTCCAAAGTATGTGAGGCGTAGTCTCGCCATCCTTGCTTCTAAGGAGCATTCTGGTTGTACTTCTTCCAAGACAGATTTGTTTGTTCTTTTGGCAGTCCATGGTATATTCAGTGTTTTTCACCAACACCAGGATTCAGAGGTATCAGTTCTTCTTTGGTCTTCCTTATTCACTGTCCAGCTTTCGCATGCATATCACGCAATTGAAAACACCATGGCTTTGGGTCAGGCCCGCCTTACCTTCAAGGTGATATATTTGCTTTTCAACACTTCAAAGAGGTGTTTTCAGCAGATTTGCCCAATGCAGTGCATCATTTGACCTCTTAATTGCTGCTTCTGTAGGTGTACCATGTACAAGCCTGGTATACAGTATTCATAATAGCATAAGTAACATACACAGTGATTGGACCTCCCTAACAAGTGGAATCACCCAAAATGAAATGTGAGAAAGCTTAATAGTAAGTGAGGACCTTGATCTGTTTGACTTGATCTCAGAGAATTGGTGGAAGGAGAGCAACCTGTAGGTTTGGAGATAATGGACTACAGATTATGTGGGAAGGGTGGGCTTGCATATGAAGCACAACATGGGGTGGAAGCTTTACTAGATAAAGATGGTACCATGGATCTCTTAGGAGATCTTGTCCTTATAGGATATAATTGGGCTAGTAAAGATATGAAGCAGACCTGATAATGAGATTGGAGTAGCCACAGAGTTGGGTTGGACAGTAATGACTAGAGATTTAAATTGTCCAAATGTGAACAAGATATAAAAGTTTTGGTTAAGAGCCCATTCTTAGGATAGCAGGTCTTAGAACTACCAAGGAAATCCATGAAATCTGATCCAGAGTATTCAGTGAAATCTAGTAAAGGAAGTAATTGCAAATCACCTGGAAGAGGAAATGCTTGATCGTTCCTAGACTATTTAAAAATGTGTATGTGCCTAAGACTATGTACCTGTGGAAATACATATCCCCAGATTGTTTTGAAGTAGACAGATTGTAGATGTTAGATATCTTTTAAGGTGGAGGAGGACTAGAGTACTTACAGAGGACCTGGAACTTAGAAGAGAAAGCTTCCCTCAAAAAGAAAATAAGAGCGAGAACTAATATCACAGAAAGAGACAGCTGGATATTATGTGCTTTGTGAGGGAAGTACTCAGCAGCTATGAGTATTCTAACCAAAAAAATTGAACCTGAATCAGATAAACCCTCTAGATCTAACTATTAGTTTATATAAAACGTAGAAAAGAGAGGAACATGTTAAATGATACCATGGGGAGTTACTCAACAAAATCCAGAATATGGGAAACTATAGGGCAAATAACCTGATTTCTTTAACAAAAAATTTGCAAGGGAGAAAAAAAAAAAAAAAACAGAGGGCGGGGGAACCTAGGGATTAAAAGAGGGTTTAAGAGATGTGTCAGCCAAGTATAGTGAAAGGACTTACTTGGATCCAGATTTGAACAATCCATCTGTTAAAAATTTTTTTTAAGACGATAGAGGATGTTTGAACATTGACTATATATTTGATGATATTAAGGCTATTGTTAGTTATTTTAGGTGTGAGAATGATATTGTGGGAAGCTGGGCAATTTGAAATATGAGTTGGCAGATGATCCCAAAGCCAATAATAGAAGATTAAAGATAATTAAAAACATCAAAGAGGAGGAGAACCTTCTAGAGAATCAATGCCTGATCGTAGTAGGAATAGCTAACGTTTAATTGAACACTTAACTGTACAAGCACTGTGCTAAGAGCTCTTCACACTGATTGTCTTATTCCTGAGAGCAACTATGAAGTAGGTTCTGTTGTTATCCCCATTGTATAATTGGGCAACTGAGGCAGGTGCACTCGAGAAACTTGCCCAGTGTTAACTTAGCTAGCAAGTGATGAAGCCAAGAGTCAAATCTAGCCTATCTGACCTCAGAGCCCAGGCTATTAATCACTATGTAATTATGTCTCTGTAAAGGTACTCTCAATGATAGAGGAGACAGCAGAGAAACCAAAAGAATAATTTCCTCCATTTTTATTGAGGAGCATTCTATAGAAATACATCTCCCCAGACTCTTTTGAAGTAGACAGGTTGTAGATGTTGGATACCTTTTAAGGTGGTTAAAGGATTAAAATCAATGCTGTGTTCATAGTTGGTATACAATAAATATTGGTTCATTCTGAATTTAAATAGCAATAAATGTACAGGATGTTTTTGACCTGATTAAAGAAGTAGATTTTTGTGACAGATTTTATTTTCCTAAATGACTTGCAGCATTATCACTCGTCCCACATATTCTTCTTACAATGTGACTTTGAATCTCCTCTAACCAACAGTTGGGAGTCTATATTCCCTCCCCTTGAATTTGGGTAGGGGCTTGACTACTTCAGCCTATAGAATATGGTGAAAGTGATGTTATGTGCCTTCTAAGGCTAGGACATAAAAAGGATATACTTTCTGCCTCGTTCTCTCTTTTGGAGATCTTGCTCTGGGGAAGTCAGCCATCATGCTGAGAGGAAACCTAAACTAGCCCTTGCGAAGGGACTACTTGGAGAGGCCCAGAGCCCCTAGCCAACAGCCAACATCAGCTGCCGTATGTGTGAATTGAATGAGCCTTTAGATGATTCCAGCCCCCAGCCTTGAAGCCTTCCAGCTGAAATCCTAGATATTATGGATTAAAGACAAGTTGTATCGACTGTGGAGCCCTGGTGGTGCAGTGGTTAAGAGCTCAGCTGCTAACTAAGAGGTCGTCAGTTTGAATCCACCAGCTGCTCCTTGGAAACCCTGTGGGGCAGTTCTTTTCTGTCCTATAGGGTCACTAGGAGTCGGAATCAACTCGATGGCAACGGGTTTGTTTGTTTTTTGTTTGTCTCCACTGTGCCTTGTCCAAATTCCTGACCCACAGAATCTATGTGTATAATAAATGACTGTTTATGCTACTAAGTTTTGAGGTAATTTGTTATGCATCCATAGTAACTGGAACAATAATCTTTTTCCTCCTATCTTGAAAGACTTTAAGGTTATCATTGTAAATGGCCATTTTTGGAGCAAGTTTTAGTGTGGGCCACTAGAATTCAACCTAGGAGATGCAAAGATGAATGGAACAGTCTGTTTCTTCATATGACACCTCAGCCAGTAGATGGTTAGATTAGCCTTTTATTCTTTTAGGTAAAGAGATCTCCAGGCAGATCCTGGTTGCTGTGGTAAGATCTATAATCAAAGTTAGGGCAATGGAACCCAGGAAAGTATTATTACCCACTGGGGCAAGGGAGAAGTGGCAGTGTGGTTTCTCTAAAGCGCAGACAATCTAATAATTTGGAACTTCTAAGTATATATATATGTAGGAACCGTGGTGGCGCAGTGGTTAAGTGTTTGGCTGCTAATCAAAAAGGTTGGCAGTTCGAATTCACCAGCCACTCCTTGGAAACCCTATGGGTCAGTTTTTCTCTATTCTTTAGGGTCACTATGAGTCAGAATCAACTCGACAGTGGCGGATTTGGTTTGTTTATAGAGAAAGAGAGAAGGGAACTGAGAGACAATCTGGACTCTTAAAAGACCTTTAATAAAGTCCATACAAGGTGGTTATTTTAAAGTTGCAAAGGGATCGAAGAAACATTGTGTATAAAGAACTTTCAAAAAAAAAAAAAAGCTTAAGGGGCACTGAGTTTCCGTTAAGGGTGATGGAAAAATTTGGATACAGATAGTGGTGATGATTGCACAACATGGTGAATGTAATTAATGTCATTGAATTGTACATGCGAAAAATGTTGAAATTCCAAATGTTTTGTTATATGTATTTTTACTGCAATTTTTTTAAAAAAGTAGGGATAAAGGGGCAATTCTGTAATATCATTGGTGGTGCCAGTGTGAAATCAGGAGTCCATGGTGAAACCTTGAAGTTTTCAGTAACACAGTCATCTTAGATGATAATACAATAAATCCCTGGAAATGACAGGAAGATTTGTTGAGGCTCTTTGAGTGGACAGAAAACAAATACAGTGAATTTGACGTGGTACTGGTAAGAATGCATTCAGAGTGATGTAAATAATGTTTGCAGGATGGTGGGTCTAGGCCCTGAAGATGTTTCTAATACCGTTGGGGCCCTGAAGGCTAGGAGTGCTGGACACTGTCAGAAAGGATGTTGCAGAAGCTTTGTGGTGTTGTAGAAAAAATACTGGGCTTGGGGTCCAGAGACTGAATTGGAGACGTGACTCCATCGTTCACTAGTTTGCCATCTGCAAGCCCTTTAACCTCTCTGAGGCTTTACTCCTGCGAAGTGGGGCAGCTTCATTTGCCTCGTTAGCCTCACCTCTCTGAGTTCCTGTGGGGATCACATGAGAGAATGAAGGTGAAAACTTGATAAAATAACACAACATAGCTATCTATGCACAGGGTCGTCTTACTAGAAACAAAACCGAAGACATCGTACCCTAATACAATACTGGTGCCTTTGATCCCCACATCAGAGTTGTGTAGAGTTGTGGTTTTTTTCTATCCTAAGGAAGCTATAGGGGGTTTGGATAGGGCCCAGGGAAGGATAATTAAATAATCATGGGTTGTAGTAGACTATTATCAATTTGACCTGTCTAATGGATGCTCTTATCTGGAAGGATGAAGGCTGAGTGGCAGCTTAAAATTAAGTTATAAAATCATGAAGAGTAAGGGCAGCACAAGCGGATTTGGTCACCAGATCTTGGAATTTGGTGAACTAGAAGGTTGTCCAGTGAAATTTGAAAGAAGCAAGTTTAGGGTACCTAAACAGTACAGTGCTTCACAATAGTACAATACTAAATTCATGAAATTTATTGTCCCCTATGAGTAATTAATATAAGCTAAAAATCATAAATACTATAGCTTCAAAAAAGTTCTAGATACATTCATGGACCCTTATCTCTTAGGACAAACGTGGATATTTTGAAGTGTGCCTCTTGCCTTTTGAGGTGGTTCCCGGCATACTGTGCTCTCCCACATCCTTCCCCTGGTGACGTGGTCGGAGGCAGTGTTGGGCTGAGTGAGTGGCTGAGGCTAACCCTGTATTTCGATTCTCGGGAACTCCCAGGTGAGCCATGGCATCACTGAGTTTCCTCCCAGTATGTGACAGCGGGTGAGAGGGAGAGGTACCAACCCAGTACCCATGTCTGCAGGTAGGTCGTGTGTGTTGAGACCCAGTTGTGTTGGGTGAATGCCTTTATACTCGGCAGCTAGACAGATTCTGCCCAAGTCGGGACTTGTAGTAAGCCTTTTTCAAAACACAGCTTCTCTCATGAGTCAAATTTGCATTTACATCCTACCACAAACCACCTTCTAATCATACATTGTAACCACGTTCAAATCCTGCCAAGGTGGTTTTGTCTAAGCTCAGGTTTGACTAACAAGCTACCGACCAAAGTCTGTGCTGGTAGGGCTTTCGTTCTGTTCACTTTCCAACTTGCTTATATCTAGAGTGATTTCATTACTCTTCTGTGATTTGGTTTCCCAAATTGTGTTATTTCTACTACCTAAGTCTTTGGTCGTGGAGTAAGGAGAGTCTGAGTTACGTGTTGCTTATGTACACGAATGTAGACTGATTTAACCTGATGAGTCACCGTGAAACAGATTATAAGAGGCTGTTATCATTAGTCCAGATTTAGCTTTCCAAAGAGAATTGAATTTAGGTTTGTGATTTATGTGCATGTACTAAATTTACAGTAAATTCATGTGTATTTATAATTTCATTATCACTTATTTTGTTTCACTGAAAAATGAATATTAACAAAAGACTAGCCAAAATGTCTGTCTTTAACATTCAGGAAAAGGTATATAAAACTTAAAGCAGAATTTCCCAGTGATCCAAAGGGTGTGAATTTAAAAATGAAACTATTCAAATATAGAGCTGGAAAGAATTTCAGAGGTCAGCTGGTTCAGTCCCTTCGTTCTAGTTAGTCATAAGGAAGGAAAGTGAGATTGAGAGAGGGTAAACGACTTACCCAAAGTCAGGCAGCTATTTACTGGCAGAGCTGAGACTCAAACTGTGGCTTCTTGCTGTAACTTGCCACTTCCTAAATAGTGGTTAAAGAGACAGTTTACTTGGGTTTTATTATTACTATTATTATTTAGGCTTTACATTGACAGAGGAATTTAATATTTGTTGAGCACCTACTGTTTGCTATGTACTTTTTAATATGTTATTTTGTGTAATTACATAGTCTTGTGAAGTAATTATTAAGTCCCATTTTACAGATTAGGAAACTGAGGTGCAGGAAGATGAATAACTTGCTCAAGGTCACGTGGTTAATATTAGAGCTGGTATTTGAACCTCAGGTCTTTCTGGTCTGCTTTTGTCATGACACCCACTGTGGCTCCTAGTGATAATGACTCAAGCCTTTTCAGTGGGGTGGAGCAGTAATAATGGTTATCTTAAAAGATATTTTTTTCAGCTTCTCACTCACTCTGTAAAATATATAGATGTACACAGATATGTGTAGCGAGAGCCTTTTTCAGAGGACCCATAGCCCTCAGCAGATGTTTGGCTAATCTTCACACCATCTCAGTAAGATAAATGGTATTTTCTGGTTGGGCGGTGGAGGCCCAGATAGGTCAGTTGCTTATCAGAAACCCACATGGCCCAACTCCCAGTTCCGTTCTCCCTCCCGTCTAGCATGGATTTCACCACTTTTGTTCTTTCCTGTCTTACACCAAGATTGTTTAAGTACTTCCCAAAAATAATGAGCCACGTGTGGGTGTGCTCATTCTCCAGAATGAATCACTGTGAAAGAGGCCGTGAACCAACCAAAGGAGAATAAATATCTGGAATCAGAGAGACTCCTGACTGCCCTGCCCCCCTAATTGATGGACTCTGAAGTGAGCTCTTTTTAAAAAGGCGACTGTGTGTCTCACCATGGTTGGAATAGTCCTCTCTTGAAGTTGTTAATTTCCCTTCCTTGCTTTCCGGAATAGACCAAGCGCTGTCTCTTTGCTGGACATCACAACACACATGTTGAGCGGTGTGCTCTCCACAGGGAGCGTCCTTTTGTGCCCGGATGTCCCACTGACACCAAAACTAAAGCCATTGCCTTCGAGTTCATTCCGACTTATAGCGACCCTAGAGGACAGAGTAGAACTGCGCCATAGAGTTTCCAAGGAGTGGCTGGTGATTTGAACTGCCAGCCTTTTGGTTACCAGCCTGAGCTCTTAACCACTGCACTGCCAGGGCTCCACTGACACAAAAGGGGCTGGGAATTAGCGTCCTTAGATCCCAGAGAGGGGGCAGTCAGGACCAGTGTGCATAAAAGATCGAGTATTCGGAGAGTTGCAGAAATAAGTTTAAGTTAGCAACAAGCATAAAAGAAGGAACAAATGAAGATATTTGCAAGGCAAAAATGAAGTTTCTTAGTCTTTCTTGAGCTTAAAAGGGTTGAAATAGAGATTTAGGAGGAATTTACTTTTTAAGTTCCTTTTATGACTTGCATCCTCATCTAAAAGGTGCCTACTTTAAACTTTCTACCTTTAAAAAATCCACTACTCAAGCCCTTCAGCAGGTAGCTGCATGTTTTGGAAGTTCTCCCAGAAGAATGGGATTGATCAGACACTGCAAAAATACGACAGGGCACATGGTGACCATCTCTGCTGTCAGTGTACCTGCAGCATGCTCTCCTTTGTCTCCTCTGGTGGGAAGAGCAAGGGCTTGTCTCCTTTATACAAAGCCTGAGGAAGGAGGGGTTAGACACTGCGATATTTAGAATCTGTCTTGGGATTTTAAAGGCCAAGAGATACCTTCTAGTGTATTAGAGCAGAGACGAAGATAGACTGTTTACTGCTTAAAGGAGTGAGCTATGACATGGTAGTTTTTCATGGGACTGGTCATAAGTGTCTGTTGTCTAGGGGCCTTAGTTAAACATGTTCCTGCGTGCTGTCCAGGTAGTAGTCACTGAGTGTCCAATCTAGGACTTGGGTGGGCCCTATCACCTCTGTCCCCTGATGGGTGAGCGCTTCAGTCAGTCCTGCGAGGCCCAGCCTAAGTGTTCTAGTGGCAAAAGCCACACTCCTGCCCATCCCAAGAGGTCAGGGCTAGGTTAGGCTCATGGGTGACAGTACTGGGAAGAACCAACTGCTGCTGTCTGTGCTATTCTTGTTAGAGGGATAAATAAAGGATTTCAGATTCCAGGGCTGCTGACCTGGCTTTCAGAGGCGCCAAATTCATTTACAGTAATTTCCTGTCAACGGTACACACTTATGTATAATACACAACCAGCAGAATCCATTAGTCCCAGAGATTGTTGCATACACTGCCTATTTGGAAAAATATATATTT